GCAGCGCTGTTCTTACCCAGACCAATTTCAGTCATGAGCAACTATATTATATGTTGTTTTAAGTAAGGCTACATCTTTTAATAGGATACGCATATTCGTTACGGAAAACTCTGACGAGGGTAATCTTCCTGAAGGTAACTTCAAGGCTAAAATCGTAGTAGGTATTCATGGAAGTGCTTTTGTGATTAAAATATTGTTTTTTAGTGTTTATTTTTAAAAGTGTGTTTTCTTCAAGCAGCATTTTTATGACCCTCAAAATATGCTACATAGGCCTATTGGTTTGATATTATAAAATGTTTTGTTAAATGTGTTTTAAAAATCTTTAAAAATAACTACCCTATAACCTTGCTCGCTGCCTATAACATACTTGAACTTGAACACTTATTAATTTACTAAATATAATACACATTACAGCTAGAATATGGCTGGACTGCTTCCCTTCCAAGGCTTCATTATTACTGTTTAATTTTTGTCGTCGAGTCAATAGGTATATATAATACGATGAATTTGTTTTCAAAATTCATATGTTATTTTGCGGGGCATTGAGCCGCACAGGTTCACTAGTACTTATTTAATACGCAAGCAGGAATTTTGTGACAATTACTCCTCCGAAACTACTGAACCGATTGACCAGTTTTTGGTGTCATTGGAAAGAGTGTAACGTGAAGTTGTGCATGAAACTTTCTTTTTAGGGAAATAATTAGAGAGTGAGGCCCTGGGGCCCTTTAAAGTTTCGTATTTCTCCATAAGATTAACATACTTACTTACTTACTGCCGTGGCCCCACAAATCTCAGTTGATTCTTCACCTCGTGTACCAGCCTCTTCCACCCTTCTCTGTCCTCTGCCAAGTTGACACTTGCACCCATTGTCCTGATGTCGTTCAATACTTGGTCAGTCCATCTCAATTTCGGCCTTCCCAATGGACGTTTACCTCCAGGTGTGGCTCTCCAAACTTCATACAGTCTTGTTCCTTTCTCTCTTCTTAGCACATGCCCTATCCAACTTAACCTTCTTCCTTTAACTATTGCAACAATATCTGGGTCGGTGTATAGTGATCTTAACTCTCTATGAGTCGGTTTTCATTTTTCTTGGACAATACCCATGTTTCACTACCATATAACAGAATAGGTTGAATTATTGTTTTATATAACTGTATTTTGGTTCTGTGAGATAATACTTTAGATGAGATCAACTTCCTGCAGGCTCCCCAACACTTATTGGCATTTGATAACTTAGTTAGTATGTCTTCGTCTTCTGAGTTTCTACTATTTACAGTTACTCCTAAATATTTGAAACTTTCTGTACAATTTATAGTTAAGTTCTTTATCTGTATGTTTCTGTTTCTATTGTTTGCTTGTCTTCCAAAGTTAATGATTTTAGTTTTTTCTACATTTACTTATAATGTTATAAGATTAACATGGGAAACAAAAATTGTTTTGAAACTCCAGCTGTTGTCAGAAATTAAATATTGATAATTGGTCTCCATGGGAGCATGAGAAAATTCACAATGTTTACTTTTGCTTTGACATTTAAATGTAAACAACCAGAACTGTCAAATGCCTATTTCACAATTTTAGACAGCTGATAAAAGAAATAAAACAACTATGTTTGTTTATTTAATCTTAAACTATATGATAGATTATTATAAATCTATTTCAATAATTATGAAACAAATTTTTCCCGTTGCGAAGCAAAAATTAATAGCGAGAAGAAAAAGATATGTTGTAAACAGTCAATGTGTAAATTATCGAAGTTGTATTAAAAATATGTATTGTTTTGGATGTTGGTTTGTGTTTAATGGTATAAGTTAGTTATTAAATTTGTATTGTCTACAAATTGGCTAGATAACTTAGGTACGGTACTTAATAAAAGCTGACAGCCTTTTTACGTTGACCTTAAATTGTAAGCTTACATTTTCCCGTCCATGGGCAGTTTGATTGTTAAAAATTCACCCTTTAAAATGGAAAAGGACTGTTATGTAAATTGTAAGTATTTCCATTGGTTGATAATCTTTTAGTTGGCTCTTTTAAAATCATTGGAAATTATGACTGTTATAAGTTTTCAACCAAGTAATTTGTTTGTAAATAACTCCTGTACTTATTTGCAAATGCTCGATTTCGAGCAAAATGTACACTAGCTCTTCTAAATAGAAAAACAGGTGCGCGCTCCACACAAAGTACATTTTAGTCTGTCGTACTCTGTATCAACGATGTATATTTTGTTTTATGTTTTTGGTTGAATGTATTATTATTTTCACCACAATACGGTTTTAAGAGAAATTATAACAGAACAATACATTTTCTTCATTTTTGTTTAGGCCATACACACGTGAATTACAATTAATTAATGAAGTTGTTAGGTAACTTATTTTGTAATTCATTGTCATAATGCTGAAAAAGAAAACAAGTATGGGTATTAGGTATCACCAACAAAAAATCCTAAGAAACCAATAGGCTAACTTATTTTTCAAAATTATTAAAGTTTCATGTTTTTGTCTTCAATAAAAATATGCGAAAACATAACAAAATATTGTTATTTTAATTCTAGAATGACCCTCGTTAATTTGTAGTGAGTTAATCTTACAATTTTTTTTTTTAACAATAACCGTTGATTAAAAGGAAAAATTGTCTTGCGTGGATGCGCATGTACTTTATTTCTATGGCAGATCTTTTTAGGAAAACGATTCGAAAAGTAATGAATTCACAATAACTAATGTCTAGTTAACTTAACAGTTAACTAGATAACACATGTCCAGGTAAACTATGTAAAAAAACACTATGTGGGTTGACGTGTTGGCTCGTTGTGGGGTGGCACGTTGACTCTAGCGTGCACGACAACCCGCCACCTCGGAAAAACGTGTGGTGGTGGGTTGTCGTGGTGGCACGTTGTCCTGGTGGTGCTTAGACGTGTTCATACACGTCAACCAGCCACCTCTTTAGTGTGGTGGCGGGTTGACGTGGTGGCTGGTTGACGTCTACGTGCGAGGTGGCGGGTTGACGATACCGAACATCGAGCGTATTCGACAACCCGCCACCTCATAAAATAGTGATGGTGGGTTGACGTGGTGGCACGTTGTCGCTTACATGCGAGGTGGCGGGTTGACGAGAGTTAACATGGGTTGTACACGACAACCCGCCATCTTTGTTGGCAAAAGCCGCTGTTGTCTGTGTATTATAAAATGCATCACTTTTTGCAGTTTACCTGGACATGTGTTATCTAGTTTACTATGAAGTTAACTATACATTAGTTATTGTTAATTCATTAATGATTGTTAATTCATTATTGTTAATACATTTTTAGTTGAAGTTAAAGTAATATATTATTGTTATCTATTTTAATAGTTTATTTATTATTGTTACTGTTGAATTTTTACAGATATTTGTGTCAATGTTGTCTTTTTTTATAATTACTCAAGAGACAATTAAGAAGTCATAAAACTGCATGCTACTGTTTCAAACTGACAAAACTGTATGGTAAATAAGAAACAATATTTTTAGTGCAGACAAACCATTTGTGGTTTTTGCACTTTTGTATCCTATGTATTGGTAATTATTGTGTAAATAAATTTCTTGATTAATTGAAAAAAAAAAAATTAATTTTCGAATCGTTAGATCTGCCATAGAAATAAAGTACACGCATCCACGCAAGACAACTTTTCCTTTTAATCAACGGTTATTGTTTATAAGAATTTTAAGATAAACTCAATACAAATGAACGATTAAAGGTCATTCTAGAATAAAAATAAAAATATTAATTATGTTTTCGCATATTTTCATTGAAGACAAAAACATGAAACTTAATTTTGAAAAATAAGATATTAGTTTCTTATGATTTTTTGTAGGTGTACACCTGGTATAATACCCATATTTATTTTCTTTTTCAGCATTATGACAATGAATTACAAAATAAGTTACCTAAAAACTTCATTTATTAATTGTAATTCACGTGTGTATGGCCTAAACAAAAATGATGAAAATGTATTGTTCGGTTAAATAATTTCTCTTAAAACCGTATTGTGGTGAAAATAATAATACATTCAACCAAAAACATAAAACAAAATATACATCGTTGATATAGAGTACAACAGACTAAAATGTGCTTTGTGTGGACTAGCGCGTTGTCGCCTATGAGCGTACACGTCAACCCGCCACCTCGTAAAAGAGTGGTGGTGGGTTGACGGGGTGGCGCGTTGTCGCATACGTGCGAGGTGGCGGGTTGCCGACATCGAACATGGAGCTTCACGACAACCCGCCACCTCTGATAAAAACTGGTGTTGGCGGGTTGTCGTGGTGGCGGGTTGCCGACATCGAACATGGAGCTTCACGACAACCCGCCACCTCTGATTGGCGGGTTGTCGTGGTGGCATGTTGTCGTGGTGGCTCATTGACTTGAGTGTGTACGACAACCCACCACCTCGGAAAATTGTGTGGTAGTGGGTTGTCGTGGTGGCCTGTTGTCGAGGTGGTGTTTTGACCTGTACGTACACGTCAACCCACCACCTCGGTTTTTTGTGGTGGCGGGTTGACGCCTCTGACCAAAACACCGAGGTGGCGGTTTGACGTGGTGGCGCATTGACAGCGACCAACTGGTACAATATCAAGTCAAAACAAAAAATATAGACGTCACAAACTCCTATTTCAAACTACACTTTCACAGAGTACAGATTTTGCAGTTTGCTCGCCCTGCGCAAAAAAAGCTTAAAAATATCGTTTTGATATGAATCGTATCGCTCTATGTGCCGATATAAATACAAATATCGTTTTAGGCGATACGATACGTATCGTTTTTTAAATATCGTATCGAAATATCGTATCGTCCCTCGCGTATCGCGATATTCCAATACGATACGATACGTATCGCGGTATCGCAAATCGCACATCACTATTTCATTTCGTAGTTTAGTTGTCGTTGGCACTGAATACTGAGGGAAGGGAGGATTGGATTGGATTGGAATTGGAAGAGTTCTGCTTCTGCTCAAGGTTAAGTTGAGTTGGGACTGTTGTGTTGTGACAATAATAAATGAAGTAAACCGATGGACATCGAACATCACAGTATCATTTGTGAACAAGAACATATTATTTCACTAGAGTATTTTTAAATAGATGTGCGTTATAGGCTAGGGTACGTGATTGTTATCTTTAACCTTCTCATTTCGGATCTCAAACTAGGCTAGACCTATTTTCTCTTTAGGCTTTGGCACAATTAGCCTAGGCCTAAGTTTACCTAGGCTGTTGCCAAACTTGTTCTAAAGCAACGAAAAATGAGGTTTATAGGTGTTGTGATATAGGTAATAAAATAAGCCAACTTTCTAGCGTTTCTCACTAAGTCATTTAGGTAGGCCTAGCATATGTAACTTACCTTTAAATTAAATTTCTAGGTTAAATTTAGCGACCCTAACACCTAAATCATGAAGTAAGAATATCTAAGCTAGGCCTAGGCTAGACGACTTAACCTACGATGTGCTAAGTTATTAGACGTCTATGAGTGTTACATAGGCTACTTATTGAATTAATAATTATAAAACATAATCGTATGAAACTAAAAATAAGTCTTGTTTTTATTCATCATCAATCTTAGAATGTAAACATTATTAAACATATTAACAGCTGTAATATATTAAAAATCGGATTGAAATTAATTAACTGGTCCAGACTTACATATATAGATATAAAACAAGATATAACAGTTGTTCTCCCCCTCTTGATTTCAACGTTACCTAATTCAATATTCACTTGCAACAACTACCTACATTTCTTAGATTTCAATATTCTTGAAGATCGTCTTAAGTGATAAGCAGCTTTGGCTCTTCAATATTTTCATAATTATATGCTGCTGAAGGTCCTTCAATGTTTTGTTGACCGGCACTTGCAGGTGTCTCTGACATTGCGTAATCCCTATTTGATCTAGATAGGTACGAAACCTTACATTTGATAGTTTCAACTCACAATTCAGTTTCAAACTTTGAAAATCAGTTAATGATACTAAAGTAACTTGACTGCCAGTATCAATTTCAAATTGTTTTGAACTTCCACCAACTTTGACTGTGACTACAAAAGGATCGTCTCGAGGTTCACCTAAATTGTAATAAATAGGTACAGTTTTTACCTGATTGCAGTCATATTCAGAATCTGCGTCACTTCTTTCAGATTCTGATTCTTGTATTTGCTTTATTGGCTGTCTGTCTATAAGAGATGAAATGCAGACTTTCTCGATGTGGCCTTTCTTATCACAAGATTTGCAATAAAGGTTCTTGGATCTACAATCTGATGCTTTGTGATTTTTTTCCCACAGCGTAAACACATATTTTCTAATCCAAGTTCTGTTTCAAGTAGATTTCTTTTCTTGAAGTTTCTAGATGATTGTTGGCTTTTTCTAGTTTTATTTCTCATAGAATCGAAACTTGACACATTTTTCAATGCTTTGGATTTAGAAATTTGTTTAACATCTGAATCGGTACCATATAACTTGTTTTGTATTTTAGCAGCTTCAATTGCTAGTGAAAATTCAACTGCTTTTTCAAAACTGATGTCGTTTCCTTGCTGGAGAATCTGTTCCCGAATTTCACTGTCACGAAGTCCTCGAATAAATAGCTTGTAAAATGCTATTAACTGGTTTCCCACAATTTTTTTCTTGGCAATTCCATTTTGAAGATATAGAGAGCTGTTTTAAAACTGCAATGTATTGAGAAATTGATTCATTAGTACCTTGTTCCCTTGATAAAAATTTGTGTCGTTCTGCGAGAACATTTGTCTGTGGACAGAGTTGTTTCTCCAGTAAATCAGTTTTAAAAGGTTTCATAGTCTTTTGAAGATGGAAGATCAGGTGCTGTTAAACTTGATAGAAGGGAATAATATTTTGCACCGAGTGCATTTATCAATATTCTTGCTTTTGTTTCCTTGATTTCTTTTGACTCTCCATGTAACTTTTTTAGTTCAAAGAAGTTTTCCAATCTCTCTTTATAAGATTTGAATGTTTCCACTGTTTCATCAAAAGATTCAAAGGTTATTGAAGAATTTAATATAGGTGTTGTGTCTTTACTGTCTTCTCCACTGTTTTCTGGTTTATGACTTGCAAGTTGTCTTACTAAATGAGCAAGAGCAGCAGTTTGGGCTTGTAATGTTTCCAATATTGCTCTGTTTTGTTCAGTCACTTTTTGATTATCCATTCAGAAAGTCCTGTTCTTTTCAAGCTTGAGTAATGCCTAATCTCTTTATTTTCACCTCTGAGTCGCCATTGTTACGTACTTATTGAATTAATAATTATAAAACATAATTGTAAGAAACTAAAAATAAGTCTTGTTTTTATTCATCATCAATCTTAGAATGTAAACATTACTAACATATTAACAGCTGTAATATATTAAAAATAGGATTGAAATTAATTAACTGGTCCAGACTTATATAGATATAAAACAAGATATAACAATGAGTATCAGCGTAGAAGACAGTAGGTAACATTTAGGGAGTCATTACATGGACTTAAGGATACCAGCATTATAGTCAATGATACCGGTGGTATCCTAAAATACAGTGTTCGCTTTTTAAAATTTATCAACCTGTGATGAGATAGGCATCCTAGTCCCTCAGTCCTAATGTTAGGGTCTATATCAACTAAGTTTGATTTGCCAAACTGCATAGAGAAAAATTTTTCATTTCATGGTTTGAATTTTATTCATCAATTTAATAACCAAAATAGGCCTACCCACAGTCGAAATGGCTGAGTTAGAACAGAATTCTGCCTGCAGCGAGGAAACTAGTTCTCTGTGTGACGAGGAAAGAGTTCGTAAACTTTTTCAAGCTTGTGATGCAGATGGTGATGGATTTATTGACAGGTAAGCCTAAGGATAATGCCTCTTTCTTAGCTTCTTTATTTGCTTAGTTACGGTACTTTGGTAGGCTATTATCTTATACGGAGGCCACATATTTTACAGCGTGCTGCAGCCGTTATGTTAGGTTGGGTTATCTTATCTTAAATAGCCTAAGTTTGTAGGAATATTGTCGTTTTGTTATGAATCGAACAATATCTTACCAGATGAGTCATACTTTCTATTTAATATAACCCAGCATATAACCGCCGCAGCCCGCTGTAAGCGTGACCTCTGTATAATACCAAAGTACCTATGCATCTCTAGTTCATTACTTAACTTAATATATATAAGGACTAGGCTTATCAACAAAACCCCAATTTAAGTTTAAAACTATTTGGCCACTAATCATTTACTTACTTACTTACTTACTCCCTCGACGTCGTTGACCAGCTCTTGCTGGATAGACTGAGTCAAAAATAAAAATAATATTTATATACATATTTACAAGTTTGGCAGCAGGTTAGACACAAATTTAAAAAAAACTCATCTAGGGAGTACCTACAAGGGCCTTGCCAGTAGCCACTCCCTCAGTTCGTTTTGAAAACTGAGGCCTCAAGGTTTTTAAAGTACAGTGGCAGTAGGTTGTACATCCTAATTGCCAACATAGGAAAGCTGTCCTTTTTTTTGTTTAGTGTGCAGAAAGGGATATTAAGGTTGGATTTTGACCTTGTATTGTGATCATGTTGGTCTTCTCTCAATGCAAGACTAGAGATGTTGGTCCTTATGTTGTTTAGAGTGATTAGAATGTACTGGCTGTATACTGTAAGGATAGGCTATTGAGTTTACTAAAAAGAGGTCTGCAATGTTCGTGGTAGTCAGCGGAGGAAATAAGTCTGACTGCCTTCTTTTGTAACAAAAGTATATCCTTACAGCCAGCTGCATGGCCCCAAACCTCCAACCCGTAGCTGAGATGGCTGTGGAACAAAGCAAAGTAGACAGTCAGTAGGTATTGCTTTGTCAGCATAGGTTTGAGCTTCCTAAAGTGATGCAATGTCCTCGATAGCTTGGTGCACAGGGCCGGTTCTAGGAATTTTTCAGAGTTAAGCGAACACCCGAATCAGAAATAAATTGTTAACTTAGGCCGTTATGCTCGTCAAGCATGACGTCACAATAGAAGACGGCAATGGCGTAATTTTTGCTGTTTGTGATCAGCTGCTTGTTTTAATATTTCCTTGGAAAATAAATAAATAAATACCTACGTCATTGCCGTCTTCTATCGTGACGTCATGCTTGACGACCATCACGGCCTAAGTAAACAATTTATTTCTAAATGTGAAAACAATTTTTACAGGATAACTTATATAAGTACAGGATACGATATAAGTTTTTACCTAACCCGCCATGTTAAACTTCCCAATCCCAAGCGTGATGTATACAACTTCTTGACTTCACGAGTGATGTAAAGTTGAGTGAAATGGATAATGAAAAATATTGTACGTAACCCCCTGTATATTGTTGGGTCAGGTAAAATCTTGTACGTTACACGTTACGCAAGAGCGTGTTTACATCACATAGGTGAATTATGCAGCTCGCTTCCGCTCGTTGCACAACATTCACCTGCGTGATGTAAAAACGCTCTTACTACACTTGTAATGTAAATAGCTATTACAAAGCCTATTACAATGAAAACAGGTGTAAGTAGATGACAAGAGAGGAATTTTTAATTGAACGCATTAAACATGTAGAAAACATGAAAAACCAAATTTATTACCTTGACAAAAAGAATACAAAATTTTCAATTTTAACAGTTCAAAAGCTTTTAGCAGTTAAAAATTAATTCTCCTAGCTTTGATCTTGGCAAATTCTTTAATTGCTGAGTCGGTATCAATCTGGTTCAGAACAGGTGTACATATACAACTAAAAGAGTGCAATACAATACAATGTAATGCTCTGATCTAAAAAGGGCAAGTTATCAGAAGTAGAAGGGAGGGGAGGGAGGGGGAAGTTTCTTGTTGTGACAAGTGGCGCTGCGCGCTTGCTTATCTCGAGCATGAGTCATGAAATGAAACCCAAAGGCGCCGCGCTGTACGCTGCCGAGCGTCAGCTCACTACAAATCGAAGAGTTGTAGGGCTGTACAAATATACGCATTTTTCAAGTGCTGTTGGTACAAACAGAATAAATTACTTTATTGTGGTGCTTTGAATACTTTAACTCTGAGCAAAAATAAACAAAATTACTTGTAAAATTAAAAAAAAATTCCGTTGGCGCCACGGCGCCACTTTTTCATGGCGCCATATGCGGCCGCGTAGTTCGCGTATGGGTTAAACCGGCCCTGTTGGTGCACACTTTCATGGTATGTTTTTCCCAGGTGAGTTTGGGGTCGATTATGAAGCCTAATAATTTTACTTCAGACAGGTTATTAGGGATGGGATTCCGAGCTAGACTGCAGGACATGTGTTGCGTTTTGCTTTCATTTAGGCAAAGCTTATTTGCTTTGAACCACGTCTTGGTTTTCTCGAAGGACTGTACAGCCTTGACCCTGGCTTCCTCGGGAGTGCTTGCATCCGCAAAGATAGTCGTGTCGTCCGCAAAAAGCAAGACGTTGCCTAACTGCTTGAGGTCGTTCACCATCACCAAGACGATAATTATATAGCACAGGTCCCAACACAGATCCCTGGGGCACGCCATGTTTAACTGGCAATGGACCCTTTTACTGCCATTATCTGTTTTCGATTTAGGAGGTAGGATTTTAAGGCAAGCAGTGCTGGTCCCCCAACGCCATATTGATGTAACTTTTCTGGCAGTTGAATGTGGGAGACGCAATCAAAAGATTTGCTTTTATCAGCTAGGGTGAGTGCAACTGAATTTCACTCTTCGACAGCATCGATTACCTTAGTGGCAAGTTTAAGAACTGCAGTAGTTGTGGTTCTACCGCTCCTAAAACTATACTGTGAGAAACTAAACAGACCATTGGTTTCAAAGTGTTGAACAAGCTGGGTTTTCATTATAGTCTCATAAATCTTTGCAAACATAGGCACTATGGAAATAGGTCGATAGCTTCCTACATCTTCATGGTTGCCCTTTTTAAAAATGGGCACTGTTTTAGAAACTTTTAAGACATCAGGGAAAACCCCATGGGACATACAAAGATTAAGTACTTTTGCTAGGGGATCAGCAATAATGTCCGCAACATGTTTCAACACAATGATGTTTAAGCCATGGATATCCTGACTAGTTGTGTTCTTGAATTGTTTGATTATTTTAATGATATTTTGAGGTGTTACATTAAGCCCAGTTAGAGAGTTTATAATAGGCTTGTCCGGTATTTTAGTTCTAGTTTCTATTAATCTAGTTTATTTTAATTCTGTTTAATATAATAGTAGCCCTAATCACAACCGTACTTATTATTAATATATATATATATATGAATTTGAACGGATGGTGTTTTTGGTCTCTAGCCCTTTCTTTCCCAAATTATGAAATAAACATTGAAAAAATTTATCTTAGCTTTATTTATTTATAATAGGCATTAATCAATACAAAAATATTTTTTTTACGCAAATTTACATTTAAATTAAAATTTTTATATCATGAGTAAAATAATCATCGTTGGGAAGTTACGGAATGACCATGAGTAAAACATTCATCATTGGGAAAATAAAATAATGCTATTTATAATTATATACAACAAATTATATTAATGTTTATAAAAATGTAACAAAGTTGTAAAAATACAGTAGTCTATAAGAATAAAAGTAAGGTAAATGTATATAATTATATTCTCAGGAATACAAGGAGTCCTCAATAAGCAGCTTCACAAATTGTGTGTACTGGTGGTGTTTAGCCTACTGCAATACCACTCATGTCATGCGGTTCCAACCACACATTTTCTGTGGTAGCCAATAAAACAATTTCTTTTTTGATTTAGGCACAGGTACAAGTCACATTTTGAACACTTCATTGTCGAATAGTTCTGAATACACAATTTGCATCTTTTCTTTGTCTCAGTTGGAAGTGGCCAATGGTCGACACCGTCGCACCTTACTTCATCAGCAGGCCTTGCAGAATACTTGTACTTCTTGGGTGCATTCGCTTCTGGAGAATCAACGCTTGGCCTTCCTCTCTTATTTTGTTTAGTTTTTCCCTCTCCGCTCTTAATTAAGGCTTCAGCAACTTGTGCTTTGAATACAACCAGAGATTTAGGTTTAGTTTCTGGCTCTAGTTGCTTCAAATGCTCGGCAATCGACCCGGCCGACTTACAACTTGCTCGTCTTTTAGGTGGGGATAAGGGACAGAGTGGGAGGAGCTAACCGGGATTACCCAGGAGTTTGAGGCGCTTCCCATGGTCTAACCACGTCGCTCGAGGCTAGAAGCCAGTCTTGCCAACTGAAAGTACTAGCTCTGTCGAACACTACACACGCGGCGTGTTTATACAGTCTGGCGTTTAGTTGACGTTGGCGCGCAATTCTAATGGATAGTTTCGTCGTTTCTATAGCAACCGTGACGTGACCTCGTTCTCGCGCATTCCTCTGCCTTTGTATTTTTTAATCTGCTTTGAAAGATAAGACTCGCTTATGTGCATTGACCATTGAATCAAATAACAATATCATTCGGGGTGTTTGATCGTTTGTTTGGATAAAACTACGTACCGTATATTGTAGAATTAAATTTGTAGTGTGGTAATATGGTATTTTATTTTATTTTATTTTATTTACATGCTTCAATACAGTTTAAAGACCATTTACATTGAAGCAGTTCATGCACTTATAATATTATTGCTTCAGTGGGTTTCTTCTTGTCTTTTCACTTCATTTTTACTTACACTTTCATGCCATGCATTTAATACTAACATAAAAACAAAATTATCAATAACTATAACAACAATGTATATATATTTAAAAAAGATTAACAATGATAAATTATATAAATATATAAATACTGAGTAGTAAAAATAAATAGAACAACAAAAAATATATAAATTAACATTTACTGATTGATTAATACTGTTTTTAATTTCAATTTG